AACCGAAGATGAAAATAGAGAAAGATAATAACGGTAGGGTTCACGGGGTTAACAGCGCAGAATGTTTCACTCAAAAGAATATAAGTTATTCGCTGGCAGTTCCTACAATTGGGAGTGAATGTGAAAGAGAGGAGCGGACGTTTTGAGTGATTGGGAGAGAAGAAGGAAGGGTTTGAGAAAAACGTGGCAAATATTTGAGAAAAAAAAAAGAAAAAACGTGGTACACACCTGGCTCACCTTTAGCCATCTCATACAAAAATTTGACGTCGTTCAATTTTAAAGACTAAACATAAGAGTTTCAAAACTAAGATGACTAAAATAAACAGACCTTTCGAAGAGGGACGAAACCCAAAATCGCTTAATAGTTTAGGGACTAAAAACATATTTAACTCGATAATATTTATTGTCAAAATTGTTCAGAGTTTTAATATTACTCTCATTTTTATTCATTTATTAATTTTATTTCGTTTTCTTCATCTTATTATTACTTAGTTTTAACCCTTACTAATTATAGGTATAGACGGAAAGTAGAAGACAATTACGAAAAAAAAAACAGGAAAAAGAAAAAGAAATTGTAGTTTTTTTTACTTTAAAACTCAAATTAAAATTAATAATATTTAACTTCAATTTTGAATATTTAATTATATTAAATACTTGTTTTTTTATTTATATTAAATTTGTTTAACGACAATAAAACTTTTTTCCACGAAATGTATTTGTTATCCTTAAATTAAATTATATAATTTAATATTTTTTATCACGTAAAATATCTTTCTTTGTATGTTTATTTTATCTAATAATAGAATTAGTAAAAAGAATTATTTGTTATATTAATAGTTTTTATTTTTTGATGAAATATTGTAAAATTCCATAAAATGGTATTTTAGAAGTGGTGGTAGTCTAAAAATAGTGAGACTCGGTTATTTTAATATTAAATAGTTTTATTATAAATAATTTTGTTATAAACGAGTTTCATTATGTTAAAACATATCATTTTTCTAGAAACTACTTATCTAGAATTCTTTATCTTCTCTCTAAGAGTTTTGACTCATAAGTCATCTCTTTAACAATTAGGAGGTGTCTAATTGATCACGGCGACGATGTCTACATTTCTAGCCGATCATTTTGTGTCATAGAGCAGGTAAGTTTCTATCTCTTTTCTCCTTTTAATCTCGGTTCTTGATCATGCAAGGAAATTTATTTTGCATGTGTCAAAAGTGTTTTCCCCTTGATTCTTGGTTCAATCGAGGTTCTAAAAATTGTCTTCAATCACCAATCGGTGATTTGCAGACCTTTCTAGGAATTTCTTGCAGTGGAAACAACGATTGGAGTTTTCAGAGCTGCAGAAGTTTTCTTAGGTAAGGGAAGCTATAACTTTTGTTTTAGTTTGTGATTATATTATAAGAATTTGTATCTTTGTGTATAGTAGTTAAATTTTGAGAAATTTCTATATATGTTTGGGTTTATAAAGATTATATGTAGTTGATGATTTGAACATGTTTTGTTGGTATGTTGGAATTGTATGTTTGTGATATTTAAAATTGTATTGATTATGTGTAATGAAGTTATTTTAATGCTTGGAAGTGAATGCAAAGTGATTGGTTTAAAGAAGTGTTCTTCTGCTTAGGTTTTAAGGTTAAAATAGGGGTTTTGATAGGTGAATTTTAAAAGTAGGTGTTGAAGTGATGAAGGAACTGTTTGAATGTTGTTATGAGGTTATTTTAGACTTGTTAGCATTGTTTAATTGAATGAAATCTGGTATGAAACATGTAAGGGGGTTATTGTTGAAGTTGGAGGTATATTTAATGTAAAAAAGAGGTTTTGACTAATGAGAATTTGAGATAGGAAGTGGGGACTGTATTTGATAGTTGGGAGTGTATTAGGAGACATATTAGGACTTGTCTAACTTGTCAAATGAGAAAAGTTTAGTGTAGAATGATTAATGTTGTTTATAGGATGAGTGGTTAAGTGTTTTTGGTAAAAAATGAGGTTTTGTATGGTGAGATTTTGAAATAGCAAGTGTCAGAGTGATGTAGCGGAATGATTAACACGTTCAACAAACCAAGAGGGGGTGAATTGGTTTCTTATCGCAAATCGTTCTTTTAATAATTTTCTCAAAGTAAATATAAATTCCTTAAAACAATTTAAACAAATTAAAAGAGTAAGGAAGAGAGAAAATTGCACAAGTAATTTTTATCCTGATTCAGGTCAAATAGATCCTACATCCAGTTGTTAATCTCAACTGAGAATTAATGCTTCATTAGCATAAACCAACAAACTGTTACAATCATAAAGAAAATAAACAAGTTGAAGGCTAGAACACCTCTCTTGTTACCCCCCAAAAGATGAAACCCATTTCTCCTGTAATCCACAAAGGATGAACACCTCCTCCGAATGCTTCACAAAGGATGACCACCTCCTTTGAATCTTCACAAAGGATGAACACCTCCTTTGAATCTTCACAAAGGATGAATACCTCCTTTGAATCTTCACAAAGGATGACAAGCTTTCAACTCAACAACAACAACAATACTCAATCACACTCTAGTGAAAGTTCTCGTTCTATGCCAATGCGTCAAGTTCTCAAAGCCATAGCACAAGGGTTCCGCAAACCCTAGAAAACTTATCATCACACACTGTAGACAAAAATTTCAAAAATACACTTTACTTTTTATTCTTTGTATGTTAGAATGAGAGTCTCAATATACTAAAATACAAAGCTTTAATATAAAAACAAGTCTTCATGAATATCTTCCTGTAACAAGAGCACTTAAGACTTGACTTTAAGACATCATCAAAATTTATGCTCTTTAGCTTTATGGTAACAAGTTTGGAAGGAAACTAAGGTGTTGGAGGTGCTAAAAAGCATAATTAGACTTGGTTATGCAGTTGGTAAACTGACATAGGATTAGTAAGTGTTGTTTTGAGTTTAGGTACTTGTGGAGCTGTCAAATGGACTTAATGCACCTAATTTTGGGTCTAATAATCAAATGGGTACTTTTTTTTAATTCTAAATATGTTTTTGCATCAATTTTAGTGTGTAAGGAATTCATTTGATCATTAGAACAAGTCTCAAGTGTGTCAAAGTCCATAAAAATAGTGCCTTATCAACTGATATGGCGTTGAGGGGTAGTTTTTTGGCGTTGAGCGCCACCATTCTAGTGGCTCTGGCATTGAAGGGTAGCTTCTGCGCGTTGAAAGCTACCGCACCAATTTTGGTTTCTTTTTCAAGTTTTGGAAATACCAAATCTGAGGTTCCGGGTATCAGTTTTGGACATTCTTTAGGTCGTTTTAGGGGTTTTGTACCGTTTTAGAGCTATTGGTGAGGGTTTCCAAGCCATTTTCCTTGCCTACTTTGGGTATCAAGATGCTATGAAGAAAATTGTGTTATTTTGTGATTTTTGATGATTTGTAGGTGTGTTTCTAATTCTTTAATATATGATCAACAGTCTCATGTTTTGGTATGCAATGTGGAACTAAATGGATATATATATATATATATATATATATATATATATATATATATGATGTATATGAGAATGAAAATGATGTATATTAATATTGTGATGAGTAGTTTGTGAATGAATTGGATAATTGATGGACGTTGTTTCGGTGTGAATTGTGAGACCGAGACACTAACCTTCGACTAGTGCGCTTCGCTTGTCTTCTTCCAGTTTAGACAGATCGGTCAACTTCAATATTGGCCGCTCGGTTGTAAAAGAGGGGAGGTACCTGCAAAAGACACTCCGACGCTCAAGTTAGGAGTGGTTTTATGAACTGTTTGTTACAGTTAGATATTGAAGTCCTAACAGGACTAATTGTAGTATGAGTTGAATCTGACTTTACCTCAAACCTAACCCTTATTTATAGAGTTTAAAGGAATCTAAATTAATTTACCTCTTAATGGTCATTAATGCAAACCTTAATTGTTTAACGGTAGCCGTTATCACATTTATTTGTGCATTAAATCTGCTCAACAACTGTCGAGACCGAACGACAAGAGGCTTGCCGAGACCGACCGGCTGAGAAGCTGATATACCAATACTGATCGGTTGCGTGCAAGTGCATAGTAACATAAGCCCCCCAAGTCCGAGTTAATCGTTCGGCTTTAGTCGAACGGTTAACTATAGGACTTATGAGTTTCAGGGAGATTGTTCTCGTTGTATTGAACATATTGTTCTCCATGTGCTTCAAGTCGTTATATCCTTTTTAGGCCGAACGATTTCATGTATTGAATCTGGCTGCGTACTTGATAGTCCTTGTTATAAGAGCTTCCCGGTTGATGAGAGGAAAAACCGTTCGGTTGAGAAAGATTTTCCTCTCAGTCTTTGGCTTCATCTTTGACGAGAGGGTTTTACCTCTCAGCCGAGTGGGATTTACCACTCGGTCTTTGTTTTCAACTTTGACAAGAGGGATTTACCTCTCGGTTGTGATTTGCCGGATCCTGTTACCTGTACTTTTCGCCTAGCGGGTTTTACCGCTCGGTCTGCAAATCTTTATAGAGGAATTTACCTCTTCGCCGAGTGGGATTTACCGCTCGGTCTTCAAATCTTTATAGAGGAATTTACCTCTTCGCCGAGTGGGATTTACCGCTCGGTCTTCAAATCTTTATAGAGGAATTTACCTCTTCGCCGAGTGGGATTTACCGCTCGGTCTTCAAATCTTTATAGAGGAATTTACCTCTTCGCCGAGTGGGATTTACCGCTCGGTCTTCAAATCTTTATAGAGGAATTAACCTCTTGGTCTTTATCTTCAATTTTGACGAGAGGGTTTACCTCTCGACCGAGCGGGATTTACCGCTCGGTCTTTTTCTTCAGACTCTTTATAGAGACTTTTTTCGCTGGATATGCACTTCTTTAGCAACGTTTGGGAACGATTGATTGGGCACCAAGTACTTGGCCTTATTTATTCCATAATGAAAGCGTAGGACAATAACAAAAGTCTAAATCAAGTGAAACAAAATATAACCATGACATTAATAGAGTTTTGGAGGTTTCTCCTTAGTTGATAAATCCACGAACCGACCGTTCCCGATGACGACTGGGACTGCGACTATAGCCCCGCCCCCGCTCGTCCTTCCTACTCGCCCGCTCGGGGCTTCTTCGCGAATATCCTTCCTTGGGGAGGCTGTATCTTGCTTCCTTTATAAACCTACGGAGATGTCCCGCCCGGATAAGATTTTCTATTTCATTTTTTAACGTGATGCAGTCTTCTATAGTATGTCCACGGTTTTGATGGTACCGGCAACTCTTCCTTTCATCTGCGTTTCTTGGAGATGGTTTCCTTCGGGGTGTGAGAAGTTCTGTGCTAAGGGCTTCTTCGAGAACTTTTGCCCTAGGTGCATTGAGGGTTGTATAATGGTGAAATTTGAATGGCCGGGGAAACTCCCTATTCTTTTCGTTATTGTCGAACGATCGTTTGCCATCCTTTCTACTTCCGCCCACATCAGCCTCTTGCTGTCGTTTCCTTTGTGACAATCGCATTTCCTCCATACGGATGAACTCAGCTGCTCGCTCCTGTAGCTCCTCCATAGTTTTTGGCGGTCGTGCATACAATTTTTCCGCAAAATATCCTGGTCTCATACACGAAGGCAAATTATTGATAATAAAAGATTGATCTATCTCTCTAACCCGTCGTGAGGTTTCAGTATACCTCTTCATAAAAGCCTTCAAAGTTTCTCCTTTCTCCTGCTTAGTATTTACCAAATCCGCCGGTGTTACCTCCTGTTTCCGATTGGATGCGTATTGTCTCCTAAAGAGGTTTTCCACAGTAGCGAAGCAATCCACTGTGTTGGGAGGAAGAGTGTTATACCATTCCAATGACTCTTCCTTAAGTGATAACGAGAAGGCTCTGCACATGACCGGGTCGCTGTCTGTATAGAATGTCATTGCATTACCGAACGTCCTTAAGTGATTATCTGGATCAGCCGAACCATCATACTTATCCAACACGGGGGGAGTCTTTTCTGGCATTGGGGTTTGCATGATGGTCGCCGTGAAGGGCAATAAACTGATAGGCCGAACGGTCTGCAGGGGTGTTGGTTCCCTTCTAGCCCGACTGTTCGAGTTGATGTGATTATGACTTGCCTCATTAGCATTCTCCCGATTCGAGGCGGACCGCTCGGGAGGTTCCCGTTCGGCCCTTAGCGCCCTCATCTCCTCCTCATGCCTCCGTCGCATCTCTTGCTGCGCATGCGCGTGCGCTTGTATAGTCTGCGCCTGTGCCTCAATCTGGGCTTGTAACTCTCTTATTCAATCTCTGGTGGTGCTTCTTATACTCATCTACCTGTGTATAAGAGATAGCTTCTATAGTATGTCCACGGTTTTGATGGTACCGGCAACTCTTCCTTTCATCTGCGTTTCTTGGAGATGGTTTCCTTCGGGGTGTGAGAAGTTCTGTGCTAAGGGCTTCTTCGAGAACTTTTGCCCTAGGTGCATTGAGGGTTGTATAATGGTGAAATTTGAATGGCCGGGGAAACTCCCTATTCTTTTCGTTATTGTCGAACGATCGTTTGCCATCCTTTCTACTTCCGCCCACATCAGCCTCTTGCTGTCGTTTCCTTTGTGACAATCGCATTTCCTCCATACGGATGAACTCAGCTGCTCGCTCCTGTAGCTCCTCCATAGTTTTTGGCGGTCGTGCATACAATTTTTCCGCAAAATATCCTGGTCTCATACATGAAGGCATATTGATAATAAAAGATTGATCTATCTCTCTAACCCGTCGTGAGGTTTCAGTATACCTCTTCATAAAAGCCTTCAAAGTTTCTCCTTTCTCCTGCTTAGTATTTACCAAATCCGCTGGTGTTACCTCCTGTTTCCGATTGGATGCGTATTGTCTCCTAAAGAGGTTTTCCACAGTAGCGAAGCAATCCACTGTGTTGGGAGGAAGAGTGTTATACCATTCCAATGCCTCTTCCTTAAGTGATAACGAGAAGGCTCTGCACATGACCGGGTCGCTGTCTGTATAGAATGTCATTGCATTACCGAACGTCCTTAAGTGATTATCTGGATCAGCCGAACCATCATACTTATCCAACACGGGGGGAGTCTTTTCTGGCATTGGGGTTTGCATGATGGTCGCCGTGAAGGGCAATAAACTGATAGGCCGAACGGTCTGCAGGGGTGTTGGTTCCCTTCTAGCCCGACTGTTCGAGTTGATGTGATTATGACTTGCCTCATTAGCATTCTCCCGATTCGAGGCGGACCGCTCGGGAGGTTCCCGTTCGGCCCTTAGCGCCCTCATCTCCTCCTCATGCCTCCGTCGCATCTCTTGCTGCGCATGCGCGTGCGCTTGTATAGTCTGCGCCTATGCCTCAATCTAGGCTTGTAACTCTCTTATTAAATCTCTGGTGCTCTGCTCCCCCATATTTCTTGTGGTCACCATTGGGTGTCTTCAGCTTGCTCTCGGCCCCACGGTGGGCACCAAAATGTTTCGGTGTGAATTGTGAGACCGAGACACTAACCTTCGACTGGTGCGCTTCGCTTGTCTTCTTCCAGTTTAGACCGATCGGTCACCTTCAATATTGGCCGCTCGGTTGTAAAAGAGGGGAGGTACCTGCAAAAGACACTCTGACGCTCAAGTTAGGAGTGGTTTTATGAACTGTTTGTTACAGTTAGATATTAAAGTCCTAATAGGACGTATTGTAGTATCAGTTGAATCTGACTTTACCTCAAACCTAACCCTTATTTATAGAGTTTAAAGGAATCTAAATTAATTTACCTCTTAATGGTCATTAATGCAAACCTTAATTGTTTAACGGTAGCCGTTATCACATTTATTTGTGCATTAAATCTGCTCAACAACTGTCGAGACCGAACGACAAGAGGCTTGCCGAGACCGACCAGCTGAGAAGCTGATATACCAATACCGATCGGTTGCGTGCAAGTGCATAGTAACAGACGTAATTCCATGATCCTCGTAGAGGGGTTACATAGTGGTGCCTTGCATTATTGTTGTTGTATGAATGTATGAAGTTAATCCGGGGTTTATTCTAACGCTCTGAATAACCTCAATCTCAAGTAGAGATAGATTGTTATGTGGTAGAGAGTAGCAGAAGGTCCTAGTTTATATATGGTCGCCAGTCAGGGACATAGGTGTTGACAGACTAACCTTGTGGATGACATAGGTTGGTGTTTGAATTTGGATTTGAATTGGTATTGTTGGACGTCACCATAAGTGCATGAACCACTGTAACTCGACATTCATATTATATCTGCATGAGTCAAGTCTATTGATAGTTAAATGTGTATTATGTGTGTGATTCCTTGTATTGAAATTGTATTTCATGATTAATTTAATAATTGTTTTATAATGTTGTTGTTTACTCTAGCTTACCTTAATTTTGTGTTGTTTGTCTCTCTGTGTTTTCTCTTTTGCGATGATCACCTTGAATGATGTGAGCTTACGGAGAACATTGTTTTAGTTGTCTCAACGTGAGGTCGAGAGTGAAATAACAATATAGATAGTTTCTTTTATTCTTCAAATAGAAAAATTTGTTCATCAGAAATATGTAGTTTTTGTTCTATCATCATATATGTAATGTTTATTTTAATAGTTTTATAATATTAAAATGAGATATTATAAATATCAAGGGTTAAATATGTTTTTAGTCCCTAAACTATTGACCGTTTTTGGTTTTCGTCCCTCTTCCAAAGTAAGGTACAATTTGGTCCTCAATCTTTAAAAAACGTTCGTTTTAGTCGAAAAAACGAACGTTTTGAGGACTAAAAACAAAATTTTGAGGACTAAAACGAACGTTTTTCTAAAGAATGAGGACCAAATTGTACCTTACTTTGGAAGAGGGACGAAAACCAGAAACGGCCAATAATTTAGGGACTAAAAACATATTTAACCCAAATATCAATGTTATAAACATACCATTCACGATTCCAATATTTTTATATATTAAAGAAAAGTTCAAACACATTGTAAACATAAATCTTATTTGGTCTCTACTCAAATATTAATTGGTAAGTATACATACTAATATAATATTATAGAAATAGTTAGTATTGACACTAGTGCTTATTAAAATAATAATATTAATATATTGTTAATTTAGTTAATATACATCAAACAAGAAGCGGTTCCTCCTACACTTCAAATTAAATTTTTATCCTGTACTTCAAAATATCAAAAATATATTCACCGACGTTCAAAAAATTTACTTATTCGAAAGCCAATAAGAAATTTACAGGCGTTCAAATTTTTTTTTTACTTTTTTTATTTAATAATAATAATAAAAAATAATAATTAAAAATAATAATAATAATAATTAAAAATAATAATAGTAATTAAAAATAATAATAATAATATTAATAATAATTATAATAATAATAAAAAAATAAATAAAATATATAAAATTTAAAAAACGATAAAACCTTTAACCGCCTTTCGTTTAAGAATTTTTTCTTTTAATTTTTCTTTAACTTTTTTTTATTTAATAATCATAATAAAAAAATAATAATATTAAAAAATTAAAAAATAAATTTAATATTTTAAATTAAAATATTATTTATTTAAGAAAAACATAATACAAATTAAAAAAAAAGTTGAAAAAGATATGTTAATAATATTTTCAAATACGGTTAGCATTGAATAATTCAAATTGAATGTGTTAACTGTAGATACGGTTAACATATTTTTTTCTAAAGGTTTTTTTGTTTTTAATTTTATAATATTATTTATTTATTTATTTTAATAAATAATATTTTATAAATTAAAATATTAATATATATTTAATTGTATGAAAAATATTAAATTAATTAAATATTTATTATATTAAAACAATAATTTTTTATTATGAAATTTAAATAAATAATTTCTTAATTTAGTTTTTTAATTTAAAATACTAAATTTTAATATTTTTAATATGTTTTATTATTATTAATAATAATATTAACAAATAAAAAGAAAAAAAAAAGAAAAAAACCTTAACTGTATTCAAATACCGATTAAATAAATTTTTTAATTGGCTTTCGCTGATACTTTTAGTATTTTAGAGGTGCACAAGTTGATAATGACACTTTTAATGTTTTAGAGGTCCAAGATAAAAATCGGGAGGTGTACGAAACTGCTTTCAAACAAAACATGTTGCATACAACAAATATTCTAAGCTGTTTACACTGCTCTTTACTTTTAACTGAAATATCAGAAGTACTTCACTCCCAGTTCCGAAATATTCCGCTCCTACCACGTTCTGACTCTTCCCCACACTCAACACCATTACAAATATTATCACATTCCTTCTGGCCGATGGAAACTCGTTCAGCCTTTCGATTCTGCAATGTCCTCAATTGCTTTTTCCTTTCTTCATTTCAATCGCTCTTTTCTTCTGCTGCTCAATCTCCTAGCAGCTTTCGCTTACTGCCGCGTTCCCTCCACTCTCGAAGGTCCCTTTCATCCTGTCACCGTTCCCTTCGACCGCTCCTTGCTCGGCGCCGTCGACTTGCCGCCCTCCGATCCCCGCGTTCGCCGCCGCGTTCAGGGTTTCCAGCCCGAACAGATCTCTCTGTCTCTCTCCACCACCCATGACTCTGTTTGGATCTCATGGATTACAGGTATCTCGGGATAGACTATATATAGTAATATAGCTATGATTTTAAATCATGATAAATGAAGAAGTCTAGGGACGAATTCGACCTGCAAAAGAGTCTAAAGCAGTTCATGATCGCGAGTATAATTGATTTTAGGTGTGTAATTTATGTTTGAATGCTATCATAATAAGAAGTTCGTAGTATAGTTGAGTATACGTTTAGTTTATCCAGTTCAAAGGCTATCTAAATCTGTTTAACATTGAAATCAGTTCTTAGAGTAGAATCAACTTTTTGAGAAGAATTTAATGTGGGTTTTCATCTAAGATCATGTTAGCTTGTATTTTTGTGTGATTTTGAGTCATATAACGCGAATTCGAAACACACATAATAAGTCAATTGAACATGAAGTAAATTGGGTTTGGATATTTTTAATCCAAGGGTGGTGTAATTCATGATGGTTTTCTTGATGGTGATATGATAATAACAGGGGAGTTTCAAATTGGTTTCGACATCAAGCCTTTAGACCCAAAGACTGTCGCAAGTGTCGTCCAATATGGAACTTCAAGATTTGATTTAGTGCATGAAGCTAGAGGTGAATCTCTCATCTACAACCAGCTCTATCCTTTCGATGGCCTTCGGAATTACACTTCTGGAATTATCCATCACGTTCGACTCATAGGTGATATTTTTTCCCCATTTCTTTCCTAGAAAGAGTTCAATTTTAGGGACTGTCCATATCATTGTTTCTATTTCAGTGTTTTTATGTCAAATTATAGTAATGTGTTGTCTATACACCCTGTGTATTATGTTATTCAAAGAACTTTGTCCATTTTTCTTGAACTAATTGTATGCAAGTTTCGCGTGCTCTTACTTAAATACAACTACTATATGTTACTGTACTTTTTACTGTATATGTAGGATTGGAACCAAGCACACTGTACTATTATCAATGTGGAGATCCTTCACTCCAAGCCATGAGTGATATAAACTATTTCAGGACCATGCCAATTTCTGGTCCACATAGCTACCCTGGCAAAGTAGCTATAGTAGGAGATCTTGGTCTCACTTATAATACAACTACTACCATAGGTCACCTGACTAATAATGAACCTGATCTTCTTCTATTGATTGGTGATGTATCCTATGCGAATCTGTATCTCACAAATGGAACTGGCGCGGACTGTTATAAATGCACGTTTCCACAAAGTCCTATACATGAATCATACCAGCCTCGATGGGACTATTGGGGAAGGTACGTAGACAAATTGTATAATTTCAAGACAATAGTTTAAGGCTGACAAAAGAACACCGTGACATTATATTTTATATTATATCTTCTTATGGTACCATAACTGAATGATTCCAGGTTTATGCAAAACCTAATTTCTAAAGTTCCAATAATGGTGGTAGAAGGAAATCATGAAACAGAAGAACAGGCCGATAACAAGACATTTGTAGCCTACAGTTCTAGGTTTGCATTCCCCTCTGAAGAAAGTGGATCTTTATCCACATTATACTACTCTTTCAATGCTGGGGGCATTCATTTTATTATGCTCGGAGCTTATATTAATTATTATAAAAACGGTATTTCCTTGTTCTACCCCTTTACACGGTGATGTCAATTTTGTTTTAATTGATTTATTGATTTGTCACTTCTTAGTATTATTGATTCAGTAGGCACACTTTTCAGTCCTTGTTCGAGAGACAACAGATCAGATACAATATTGCAAGAAATGTTAACCAGTAAAAGAAGATGAACCAAATACTTAAATACTGTACCAGAGCCATGCTATTTGATGTGGGACTTGAGTACCCATAATACCCAAGTTCCTATCCGTTAATTGTCAACACTAGTGGGCCAATTACTTTTAAGCTAGCACCACCAGATTAGATACTGCAACTTAAAATGAAAAGACAACGAGCCAAGAGAATGACCCTCGTGAAACTTCATTGTACGTTACTTTTAAACTTGGACCATCCGAGTAAATACAACTGAAAATGAAAAGATAACGAGCTAAGAGGATGACCCTTGTGAAACTTCATTTTACCCCTGCTTCTCAAGAATGTGGAATGTAATTTGAGTTTGTCATATATTTGGATCCACTTACGTACTACTACTAGTAAAACTACTTTGATTGACCATGTATTTTGTATGATATGAATGACAAGCACATTTTAACCTGAATGTGGAAGAAAATTTTCTTGTCTAATACTCTTGCCTTGATTCAGAAATTCAATCAAAAGAAGCCTAACACATGGCCTAAAATTTGAAAGTGCAGCAATGTGATTTTGTTATTACAAGTTACAATCAAAGCGAACAAGGAGAAGATATAAGATGTAGAAATATAGGCAAGTATAAATTATCAGTGATAGTGGATAGAACAATTAAATGGTGCTTGAATGTGTTTAAAATTTACATTGTAATCAATTCAAGTGCTGTTGACTCGTTTATTTCCTGCTGCGTGTTACCTGCGATGCTTATTACTATGGCAGGTGAACAATACAAATGGCTGGAGAGGGATCTGGCAAGTGTTGATAGATCAATAACTCCCTGGCTTATAGCTACTTGGCATCCACCATGGTATAGTTCTTATGAAGTTCATTATAAAGAAGCAGAGTGCATGAGGGTGGAGATGGAAAACCTGTTATACTCGCATGGTGTGGATATAGTATTTAATGGACATGTGAGTCATCCTTAGTCCTAATAAATTAAATGACGATAATCAATTTTGGTTTGTTCTTTTACATTCTAAAAGCTTAACCTGTGTTCGTATTGCAGCATATAATAATTAAATAAAAGCAATCTGAATATCTGGTTATCAAATGATTAATGATTGTTTTTTCTGAATCAAATTGGAATACGTATTGTCTGATCTGCTTAACGCATATATGCACGTGTGCTTAGTCAAACATATATGAATTAAGCCTAAGCTTATGCTTTTTACTTAAATTGAATTACAGGTTCATGCTTATGAGAGGTCCAATCGGGTTTACAATTACAGTTTAAATCCCTGTGGTCCTGTGCATATTGCAGTTGGGGATGGGGGTAACAGAGAGAAGATGGCAATCAAATTTGCAGACGAGCCTGGTCATTGTCCTGATCCATTAAGTACTCCTGATCATTTTATGGGTGGCTTTTGTGCAACAAATTTTACATTTGACCAAGAGAGTGAGTTCTGTTGGGATCACCAGCCAGATTACAGTGCTTTCAGAGAAACTAGCTTTGGCTATGGGATTTTAGAGGTACCACTCCTTTCCTACCTCACCCCAAGCATGGTGGTACAAGTTTCATTTATATTCAATAAATCCATACTAGCAGTTGTGCGTACTAAACATTAATGAACTGGTGGATAGTTACACGTATAAAGCTTTTTTATATCACGTTTGTTACGCTAGAATGCTACTGTGTTGCTAAAGCTAAATAACACTTCTGAGATTATACAACCTTTCAAAATTGTATTACACTGGATTTGGTTTCTTTTAAATGAAAAATATATAAACTTTCTGAATAAAGCATACTCACAATCATTGATCGGATAATCAACTGTTTAGTAATACGATAAAATCATATACACTATACAAAATTTGAAGATAAATACAATCTCAACAATTTATATTTAATAAAGGGTTATTATTGTACTTTATATTCTAAAATGTACTTCCCTCACTTTAGAGGAGTCAAATAGTTGCAAATTGTATATATTTTTTTAATTTTTTGACCTCTTAGGGCATTTGCGTTACTAGCTTGTGGAACCGCAAATTGGCTGAAGAAAGTATCAGAATTTTCACTCATCTGTGGTGTTTCAATGTGTCATGCAGGTCAAAAATGAAACGTGGGCTTTGTGGACTTGGTATCGTAATCAGGACTCGTACAAGGAAGTTGGGGATCAAATTTACATAGTGAGACAACCTGATATATGTGCTGTTCCTCGGAGTGTGTGCGGAGATTTTACTACTTCGATTTAAGAGGCACAAGGAGTTCATTTGGTGTAATTAATGAATATGTCACAACAGCTGAATATTAACCTCTGTGGAAACCACAAAGTGCGCTAAATGTCACTAGCATTAACATATGCTACCTAGCACTCGTAGGTCAACACTCTTTTTTGGTAACGATCAATGTTCAGAATGTTTAACAAAAAGTAACGTAAATCCTCAGTATTTTGATAAAATGAAAGTGAAAAATGTTATAAAAAAGAGTGCCTACGCTGCCGTTATATTGATATTGGAAAATATCTAAGTTGGTTTGGTTGTTCACGTTCCTCAAGAAATGTTGGAAGGTCGCAACTCCAAGTGGTCAAAACCACTCATCCGCAAGTCTCGCTCTGGATCATTCATGTTCAAAGAGTGTTTCGTTCATCTCCAAGACACGAAATCAGTTTCGAGAAGCTTTTTCCGCAAGATTTTTTTTTCTTGGATCACTCCTTTTCATACTATAAATAAGCACTTTATTTACTTCAATATACATCATCATCAGAAATCACTCTTCTCTCATTCTCTCTTCTATTAGTTTCATTATTTCTCTTTTCTTCTTTTCCTAAATATTTTTTGGATTTATTTTATACTTTTTTTTAGAGATCCTTCTTAGTTCTGGGATCGTCAGAAATTCTGAGAAGTTCATGTTGTATCTTGGGGGCTTATGCAATACACTGCAGATAAGTTCTTAAAAACAATGATCCTTAGGAAATCCTTTGTTCGTGATCTTTATTCTTTTATTCTCATCTTCTACAACAATCTTAAGGATTTGTGGCTGATAATAACAACTCAATCCAGAGAATCAAAATATTATTTTCGAAACGCAGACGGTCTTCTCGAAACCTTTTTCGGATGTATAAAAAATTGAAGTCTTCTTTGGTCAGAATTTTCGACGTTGGCAAGAACGTGTGTCAACCCTCTTAGACATGTATGAAGTCTTTGCTCTTTCATTTTCAAAACCTAACTCTAGTCTCCCTCAAAATTTGAAACAAGTTGAAGATTATGTTCATGCAAACAAGATATGCTGACATACTTTACTTAGTGCACTCTCTAACGATTTGTTCGATGTGTATTGTTCCTATAAGGAAGCGAAAGACATTTGTGATTCATTAATTCTCAAATACATTGTTGATGGTATTGTCAGACAAAGGTTCATTATTGGGACTTACTATCTCTGGAAAATGGTTGAAGACAATGACATAAAGTCACAAATTAATGAGTACCACAAGTTGCTCGAAGATATCAAAACGGAGAATGTTCTTCTACTAGATGAATTTGTTTTAGAGCTTCCAATCGAGAAACTACCGCCTTCCTGGACTGATTACAAGCAACAACTGAAACACAAACACAAGTAAATGTCACTTTTAGAGCTGATCACTGACATAATTATTGAAGATACCAACATGAAAGAGTGTGTTGTTGTGAGGGCCAAAGCTTTGTCTGCAAAAGCAAACATGGTAAAAGACAGACCTGCTCCAAAAAGGTACGAACATAAACCTAATCACTATGGAAAAAATTATTTTCAAAAGTCTCGTCCCAACACATCTAACTCCACCTTTAAGAAGAAAGGAAATTGCTTCGTATGTGGGAAGTTGGGCCATTATGCACCACAGTGCAGGCGTAAAGCAAGAAACGACAATCATCATAGGGAAAATATAACAGAAGGAGATGACATTATTGCGCGATTATTTCTCAAGTAAATCTGATAACCAATGTGAGCAAGTGGGTGAGACTCTGGTGCTACCAGGCATATCTGTGCAAACAGAAGTGTTTTTACCTCTTACACTAGTGTAGGGGATGGAAAATAACACGTTTACCTTGGTGATTCCAAGACCATTCCTGTTATGGGAAAAAGGAAAGTTATTCTCAAACTCACATCTATAAAAACTCTGACCTTGAGTGATGTGCTACATGTACAATGAATAAGAGTTAATTTAATCTCTATAGCACTACTAGGAAAAGTGGGGTTAAAGTGTCATTTGAGTCTGACAAAATTATAATGACAAAAAATAATGTTTTTGTGGAGAAGAGATATTGTGATCAAGGTCTCTTTGTACTTAAAATTTTTTAAAATATTAATGAATCCTCTTCTTCTGCTTATATTGTTGACTCATATGATATATGACATGCTAGATTAGGACATTTGAATTCTTCGTATGTTATGAAATTACAACGACTAGGATTAATTAATATGCATGATAAACAGAGTAGTAAATGTGATATATGTATAGAATCTAAAATAACCAAGAAAACATGTTATTCTGTAGATTGTCAAATTGAATTGTTAGGGCTAATTCATAGTTATCTAACTCATTTAATACAAACCATATCTAGAGGAGGTAAAAGTTATTTTGTAACTTTTATAGATAATTATTTTAGATACACTAAAGTGTATTTAATCAAACATAAAGATGAAGCCTTTAATGTGTTTCTAACCTATAAAGCAGAAGTAGAAAATCAATTGAATAAGAAAATTAAGAGGATTAGATCAGATAGAGGTGGTGAGTATGTGTTATTTAATGACTTTTGTGTTAAAGAAGGTAAGATCCATGAAGTAACCTCACCATATTCACCTGTGTCTAATGGAGTAGCTGAGAGAAAGAATAAGACTCTTAAGGAGATGATGAATGTGATGCTTATTAGTTCTAGTGCACCTGATAACCTTTGGGGAGAAGCCTTTGTTACTGCATGTTTTTTACAAAATAAAATACCTCATAAGAAAACTGGTAGAACTCCTTATGAGCTATGGAGAGGTTATTAACCTAACCTTAAATATATAAGAGTATGGGGGTGCCTAGCTAAGGTGATGTTACCTGATCCTAAGAAAAGGAAAGTAGGCTCTAAAACCTCTCTGATTGCATGTTCTTAGGCTATGCTGAACATAGTGTTGCCTATAGGTTTCTAGTTCTTAAAAGTGATATACTTGAAAGTAATTCTATAATGAAGACGAAAATTGTTGAGGTTTTTGAACATGTTTTTCCTTTAAAGGTTAGTGAGACGTCTCAACCTGTAGATAATAATAATAGTGATGCCTTGTGTGAGGAATTAAGAAGCAGTAAAAGATAGAGGAAGGAAACTTCATTTGATAATGATTTCTATACCTATCTAGTTGATAATAATCTAAGTAGCTTTGTAGAAGCTATTAATGCTCCTGATGCAAAACAATGGGATAAAGCCATTAAGACTGAAATTAAATCAATTCAGAAAAATAATACTTGGACCTTAGTAGATTTGCCTAAAGAAGCAAAATCCATTGGTTGTAAATGAATCTTTAAGAAAAAGTATCATTCTGATGGTTCTATAGAGAAGTATAAGTCAAGGTTAGTAGCAAAGTGTTTTACTCAAAAACCCAACATAGATTATTTTGACACTTTTACCCCTTATGACTAGGATTTCATCTATTCGAGTATTGTTAGTCTTAGCAGCCATCCATATGCTAATGATACACCAAATGGATGTTAAAATTGTCTTTTTGAATGGTGATTTGGAGGAGGACATTTATATGACTCAACCTTAAGGGTGTGTTGTACCTGGTCAAGCGAATAAAGTATTTAAACTTTTAAAATCTTTGTATGGGTTGAAACAAGCACCAAAACAATGACATGAAAAACTTGATAATGTATTGCTATGTGATGGTTTTTCACCTAATGATGCTGATAAATGTGTGTACTCTAAATTTGAAAATGGTGATTGTGTCATTATATGTTTGTATGTGGATTACATGTTAATTTATGGTACATTCAATGAAATTGTTGCTAGAACTAAACTGTTTCTAGGATCGAACTTTGAAATGAAAAACATGAGTGAAGCCAATGTAATTTTAGGTGTTAGAATCATAAGGAAGGGAGATAATATATTTCTATCCCAAGAACAATACATTGAGAAACTTCTTAAGAAGTTTGGGTATTATGATTTCAAACCCGTGAGTACCCCTTATGATGCTAACTCTAAATTAATGAAAAATAGAGGAGAATCTATATGTCAGTCTCAATTTGCCTATATAATTGGGAGCTTACTACACTTGATGAGCTTTTCTAGATCATATATTGCTTATGTAGTAGGTAGACCGAGTAGGTACACTCAATGTCCAAATCAAGAACATTGGGATGTACTTTCCAGGCTTATGAGATACTTAAGAGGTTCAATGGATTATGCCATTGAATATACTGGACTTCCCGCTGTACCAAAAGGGTATAGTGATGCTAACTAGATCTCTGATATTCAGATGACACAAAATCTACTAGTGGTTATGTATTCACACTTGGACGTGATGCGATTATATGGAGATCAGCCAGACAATGAAATAATTGCAAGATCAACAATGAAATATGAGTTTGTCGCTTTTGAGATGATTGATAGTGAGACTGAGTGGTTGAAAAACTTCTTAGCAAACATTCCACTAGGAATGAAACCAACCCCATCAATGTCAATACACTGTGATTGCCAATCGGCAATAGCTATAGCTAAAGAGTAGACATATACAATTGAGACACAATTTGGTGAAGTAGCTACTAAAGAGTGAAACTATTTTCATTGACTATATGAAGTCGAAATGGAATCTAGCAGATCCTCTGACAAAACCCTTGGAAAGAAATATGATCTTAGAAAATCGAGGGGAACGAGACTTAAGCCACTAACTAACAAACAAGTGATGGTAACTGATAACAGTTGAAAAACTGTTATTTTCATGATTAAAATTGACACTAAAAGCAACCTTTACACTTAGAAACTAGCTTGAAATCATGCTTTTCTTCATGTTTTTAGAAATAAGAGAGCTGGACAGGTTTATGCTTGATTTCAGTGTTTTTGTGCAGGTTTTAAGGTGAATTTGGTGAAAGAAGTGAAGAAGGAGAGAGATG